TTAGGAAACTGGTTTATAGGACTGGTGGGTACACACACCCAGATTAAATAAATACTAACGCAGAAAAACAAATGAATGAATGAAAAAAAAAAAACTATAGACCTTTGAAGATATATTACCATATCAAGCAACTATGCCTTGTGGAAACATCTGTAGAACGCAGGATAAACTGTCTTAACTTTGATCCCAGAGTTCTTACTAGGATCTGCAATACTCTGGATAAAATAACTAGAGAGGGAGTTAACAGGTGGCTGACCTTTTCTTGTTGAAATCCAGAACTAAACAACAGACATAAAGGCAGGATTAACTACACAGAACAACATCGTACTAAACAAAGACAACTGCCAGAGCCAACGTTGTACACATGCTTGTTTTTGTAATTTGAGTGAATTGTCCAGTAAGAGTCGCCATAACAACAGGGGAAACAGAAACCACGATGTTGCTGGAAAAGGTTTCAGTGGGACAGAATGGTAATAAGGGGAGCTGGAATCTTGCCTCCACCGTTGAATACGCAAACACATTTCTGAGGACGTGCACAAATGCTGTTCTTACAGAAGGCAGGATGCTCTAGACCACCTGTGTTATGAACATCCACAAGCTGGTTTAAGAAAAAAATAAATAACAGGAAAAATAAAAATCTGGATGTATCTAAAAACAAACATTTTTCTGACACGAGGTTGCAGCAACTTAGAAGATTAACAAATGCTGGAGAGAGGGGACAACGGTTCAGTGCAGCTGAGCCACTGATGGGTACACTACAGATCGTTTCAGTGTTAGATGCTTGCAGCTAATGCACCAAAGTAACAATAGCATTAATAGGAGCAAGGATTTAATTCTAAGATATAACGTAAAAACGCTCAAAACAACCTTCATTCTTTCAAATTTTGCGTAACTGAAAGAAATGAGTCCTTTTAAAATGGTGCCCTTTACAAGAGCTTTTAAAAACCCTGAATTATTCTGGTATGTCTGTGCGTTTGTGCAGAGGTCTACAGTCAGGTTGGGTTAAGAGGGATTTGACACTGTGTAATCTGACCCACACATGAACATGAAACGCCTGTGTGCCATCATTGTCCTCTCTTCAACTGATGCTGGCGTGGAAACAGAAAAACCTTTGATGCCTAGGTTCAAGGGAGAACTCGCTTGGGAATTGTTTCCCATTCATATTCTACAATACTGCCACAAAGAGGTCAAGGCTGAGGACCTTCTAAAATGGTAATATACCAAAAAACATCAACAAAAGAACCCACAAACCCATCACACAGTGGCATACAGAACAGCCCAGTCAATGAAAAGTGTGTAAAAAGTGCAAGTGTGTGCGACGCTGTTTCCTACTCAGTGTAGGGACCACTGAGGGTAGCGAACTGAGGAATTAGAGGTGGCTGCACTCTGAAGAAGGTGAAATGGCAAGGAATCCAGGTCCGGGCGGCCACTGGCAAGTAAGAAACAGAAGTGCTTTCACTAGTTGAGTGTCCCGCGACAGTTTTCTGTTCCACACAGACACGGGATCTTGTTCTCCTCCAGAGGGAATTTATAGTCATAGGTGATTTCTTCATTCACTGCAATAGGTTGCTTTGAGTAGATCACAATCTTCTTCTGGGACTCTATGGTGATAACCTTGGCATAGCAGTTTGGCTAAAAGAAGAGAGAAAGGAACATTTATGAGAAAATAAATCTCCAGAGACAACATTAAAAACATCATTCTGACCTAAAACATTTTTGTGCGTTTAGACTCACAGTGCAGCAGTGGTTGATGAATCGGGCCAGGTTGCCACACTTGGTCGCATCTATTATTGTGTCGTGGTCCACTCTAAACAAGTAGCTGCTCCCGATGCCCTGCTGTGCGTACCGCTTTTCTCGATTGTCAGCCACCATCTGGATGGACAATTTAAAAACAAACAAGCAGAAAAACTCATCAGGTTTCCATTGAAGCGCCGACTCTACCTTTATTGAGCTTCAGCCGGGCGTACACTGTGCGACTTTTTCACTTTTTTGAGCCGATTTTCCAGTCGTGCGAGAATCCACGACATCGGGGCGAGTTTTACGCCGAGCGGTCGTGTAGTGTACAGGGGGTTACGAGAGGCGATTAACACCACGTGACCAGCTGCCGATCAGCAGTCGTGAGCTCGCACGGACTTCTGGCGTGTTTAATATTTCGCCCGTCCCTCGTGAGGGTATCGCACTGTTGAAGCGGAGCTGCGAGCAGCTGCGACCCAAAATGTATCAGAACCGCTCACGGCGCATGCGCAATCCTGCATCAACACTGCTCCCCGCTATTTCCCTAATAACACACGCTGTTCGTTTTAATTTCTACACGTTTTTTTACTCACAAAGATTGTCAAGAAAGCGTGTTTGTCGTGTTCATGTCAAATTAAACTGATCACAAAACACAGATTTACTTTCTTTATTTCGTTTTCCTCATCCAACCCCCATAAATCCCTGTGTGTCCTCCTACAGCACTCCCGAAGGACAACAGGCAAAACAAGACAAAAAAGTCTAACGTGTTGAGTAAAATCTGCTATTTTTAGCATATTTTTAGGGCCGACGTGTTGCTACCAGACGTACAGTGTGAGCAGTCAGGTCGCATCCGAGAACTGGGTCGTGCAGTGTGAGCGCCTGGCTCGTGAGATCTGCCCTGTGAGGAAGTCGTACAGTTTGAGCTGAAGCTGAGTGCTACGAGTGAAAAAGTCGCACAGTGTCCGCCCGGCTTTAGAGACTAACAACACTCCAAACACTGAACCTGATCAAAGTAACCTGAAGAGTTTGAACAGAACAAAAGAAGTCATACCTGTCTGATGTTTTGACCAACATACTCAATAACCATCTCATCAGCAGCGATGGGCTCCATGGCGAACAAACCCCACTCGTGGATTCGACTGCGCCCAAAACGAAGCTTCTTCTTTCGGAACTGTGCAAAGAAACCCCAGACTCAATTTAACAGCTGCCTTGAAGAATAAAAATTCCACATAACACATTTGCATCTACAGTATTTCACTTGTAATATTTACTCTGAAGGAAAGAAAGAGATTTATTTTAGCTCCAAAGGAAGCTTTTGCGTTATTACTAAATCAAAGAGTTGAGGCCAAAACAAATCGGAAAGAAAAGCACAATAAGGATTTTCTTGAGTAACTATATTAAAAAACTGGGAAAGTGTTTTAATACACACCCATTTACTAGAACAATAAAGTACCACACACATTAATTTATAATAATACTAATAATATAACAATTTTGGAATGTATTATGTTCACTCCCTGTCTCTACACATTTTACTCATTACAGTCTCCAAGTAAATTGTTCCCCACCCAGAAATTCAATGGGTGTTACCAGCGAAAAAACACAAGTTCAGTTATGTATGACTTCTTAACAAGCACAAATAACTTCCACTTTGGGCTTAATTTTATATATCGCCTCTGCAAACAGCAGAAACGCCACAGCTTGGTCGTTTGAAGACCAGAGGTTATTTAAACACCAGCAAAGACATCTTACCAAAGCTTTACAACATCATTAAGAATGCCATGTGGGAAAATGCAAGAGTGCTTGCAACAGAGTGGTTGCATGAATCACAACATCTGAAATGAATACCACAGCTGTTGTACCTTAAGCTGGTTGAGTTTAAGTAGATCAGAGTCCATGACAGCTGTGGCTCCAATGACTGTGAGGATGCGGCGCTGCTCTGAACGCCTCTCTGATAGCACACGGTTAACTCCCTGAAGAGAAAGAAACACACAAGCGCTTCAGACAAGGTCGCAGCAACATTATCACATGACCTTGACTTACAAAGGACCAAAGCAGAGATGCACTTTGGTCTGTTTTTAATCAAGTCATCTTAGTACGGTTGAAGTTCAGTTAGAAACCAAAGACGGGAAGATGACAGGAAGTGTTATGCGTAATCATAGTGGAAGTTAGTGGGTTTTTAGACCACATTTAGTTAAAGTGGAAAAACGTGTTTAAAAACCCGTAAAACTTCCACAAATTCACCAAATAGCAATTAAAAATGTTCGTATTACCGTGCGAATCTCACCAGGCAGGGCATTTAATCACCTGCTTTTGGTGGTAAACAGGTCTACCTCAGAAAACACTGATACAAACCTGAAATTTAACGCCAGTCACAAGAACAGTTTAGGACAATCAGCAGATAGCTGCTGACCTCATCTATTTGAAACTATTCTTTTTAAATGTATTTACCTTTAAATCAACACTGAAGCATTTTGAAAATGTTAAGCTATTGCTTTCAAACTGGTTTTGGTGGTTCTTGAGCCATAAACCTGAGTAACTTGACATCGTGCAGCACTCTATCGCCCTCTGCTGACCAAAAACTGCACTTAAAGAGCGAGTAACGCCTAAATTAACCTTTTGTTTTTGCTGTTAACCTGTATAGATGAGTGTCTAATGGTGCTGTACACATGTGTAATCCTTGGTGTGGCACCTTAGTGCAACTTACTTTAAATGTAATAATTCAGCCCAAAACCATAATTATATCTCCATCTTCAGGTTAATTCTCTACTCCACATTCATGTAGAACCAGCTGTGGCTGATGGCTAAGCTGAAAAACGTGACATTGTCAGCAAAGTACTACGTGGCTGCACTGCAGTGGTCTCCAGGTGAGGCAGCTGCACCTCCACCTGGCTCAACCACTCACCTGCTGATATGACACGTTGGCACCCGGAGCCACTTGCCTCCTTGAAAAAAATGCCCTCCTCTCCTTTTCATCTAATGATCGTAGTTAACAGGAAATCCTCCAGAATGCTGCAGGATCTGTATCTGCTTTTCTCCTGCGCGGTAATGGGCTCGACACATGGGAGGCGGCATCGCCTCTCCTCCATTCATTTTCAATGAGACATGCACGACAAAGCGATAATCGCGGGTCTCCCTCCTACCAAGCGAAACGCGAAAAACGTGCGTGTGAAAGTTTGCACTCGTGCACGTGTCGTGCACGTGCGACCCAGCGACGCGATCCCAGAAAGTTGAAACATTTTCAACTTTTCATCGCTGTCGCTCGGGCGAGGACCAATCAACGGAGGTTTCATTCACTGACCAATGAGCGGGCAGGATGCTCCGCACTTCTCCGAGCAAACATGGAGAAGTTGATTATTATTATGTTTTATAAAGTAAAATCAGAAGTAAGATTTCACATAACTCTAGCAGCACCTTGTGAAACATCCTATCTACCGCTTTATTAACTCTGAACCGCTTCAATAACCTTAATTCCCTCCAACCTGACACAGCCAAACAAAACAACGGAAGTTTCGATTTCGCTATGGAACAGAACGCGTAGACGGCTTTGCCGCTGGCCGCTGCCGCAGATCGCCTGCCGTGTGACAGGTACAAAAGCGACAGCGACAAATTTCGCTGATCGCGGTCGTTTGTCGCCTCCCGTGTGTCGAGCCCATAAGTCTCGTTTGAGTGCGTGCACGCGCTCGTTAACAACTCGTTTTTAGACTGAGAAAAGAGGTAAAAAGAGGCTAAAAAAAGGAATGATGATGACCTGACTTTGTTGCTACTGGACTTGTAAGAAATACTATTTTTTTGTTCAACAGTGTGGATGTTTTTTACTTTGTAGCTTAAGCCGGGCGTACACTGTGCGACTTTTTCACTTTTTTGAGCCGATTTTCCAGTCGTGCGAGAAGCCACGACATCGGGGCGAGTTTTGCGCCGAGCGGTCGTGTAGTGTACAGGGGGTTACGAGAGGCGATTAACACCACGTGACCAGCCGCCGATCAGCAGTCGTGAGGTCGCAGGGACTTCTGGTGTGTTTAATATTTCGCTCGTCCCTCGTGAGGGTATCGCACTGTTGAAGCGGCGCTGCGAGCAGCTGCGAGCAGCTACGATCCAAAAAGTATCAGAACCGCTCACGGCGCATGCGCGCGCAATCCTGCATCAACGCCGGCCGGTCGCTCGCTATTTCCCTAATAACACACGCTGTTCGTTTTTGTTTCTACACGTTTTTTTACTCACAAAGATTGTCAAGAAAGCGTGTTTGTCGTGTTCATGTCAAATTAAACTGATCACAAAACACAGATTCACTTTCTTTATTTCGTTTTCCTCATCCAACCCCCATAAATCCCTGTGTGTCCTCCTGCAGCACTCCCGAAGAACAACAGGCAAGACAAAAAAGTCTGACGTGTTGTGTAAAAACTGCTATTTTTAGCACATTTTTAGGGCCGACGTGTTGCTACCAGACGTACAGTGTGAGCAGTCAGGTCGCATGCGAGAACTGGGTCGTGCAGTGTGAGCACACGACTCGTGAGATCTGCTCTGCAAGGAAGTCGTACAGTTTGAGCTGAAGCTGAACGCTGCGAGTGAAAAAGTCGCACAGTGTCCGCCCGGCTTTAGTATCAGATGGCTTGTGTTAGCATTAATTTGTTGTTAGCACTAGCTCCAGAAGGCTGCAGCAGGGTTGTTTATGGCAGCTGTAATTCCACTTTCAACCAGTAGGCCAGTGAAGCAGGAAACATTCAGTGTTGCTTTAATTTAACCAAGTTATTCTCACTGTGATCAAGGACCTCTTTTTACATGGAAGACCTTGCCAATATAGCACTGGTATGTTTAAATATCATCCCATCTTATTACTGGTTACTCATTAAGCGGAATCTTCAATTTGTGTTTTACAAATAGAACATCCTGAAGAGCCGAGAGCACTTGATTATATGCAATGTTTGCATCACAAAGGTGAGACATGGGTGTGATGATGGAATAAATCTTAGTTTGGGCAAAACCTGTAACTCAGTTGTTGGATAAACATTGGTAACTTTTAAAAAAGACTATTTAAAAAGAGTATAACGTAATAAACGTTTCCCTGGCCTGCATTTAACTGCCTATAAAAATGATTAGTTTTGAAAGTATTTTCTAAACCAGAGCATGTTTTTCACTGTGGAGACAATGAGTCATCCTGGAAATGGACTATGGAAAGTGCATGAGGAAAAATCCAAGATTCACTTCGAATCAACTGTGTTTCCGTCTAAATGCCTCAATACCAAAAATAATACAAAGGTTGAAACTGAACATAAACTAAGAACAAATGAAGAAAATAGATTTGGTCATTGTTTCTTTGTTGCAACACTAAACACTAATGGAAAGCCCGATAAGTCCTCTTTAACATGAGGTACAACGTTTATGGATTACACGACTGAATGAGTAACAGCTAAGCGTGTGGTTAGCACCCCACAAAGTGTCCACTAGTGTGCTGGTGTTGGTCTCTCCAGGACATAGGTGCTCATCAGCCGCAGGACATTATTGAATATGTGACCCAAGTTTACTCAAAATGTTGTACTTTATTAAAATAGTGATCAACAGTGAAACAAACTCAATGCTCTGTTTGCATTTCTGTTCTTTATGTGGTAAATGTTTAGTTTTATTATAAGAGTCGACGGAGAGAAAGGGAGGAAGGGCATAAAAGAGGAATAAAAGAAGGTTTAGAGTTATGCATTTGTTGTTTTGCCTTACTTTCCCTTTGTTATGGCACACCACAGCACACCAAAAGCAGTTCACCAGGTTTAAAAGACGTGGGCACCCCTGCTCTAAAACACAGCTTGCCTGTGAGCTACCAATCAGGTGTCTGCAACCTGTAACTGGCAGCAGTTTAACCTCAAAACCAAAAGTGAATACTAAAGATAAAAACGACAACACTGCGCTTCTTAAAGTTTTGTGTGTAGTTTTTGTGCTGGGAGAACTGCACCCTCATTTCTCTGCACAATCCGACGACTCTACAATACACGCAGTCATTCATGTATTCACATTTGTACACACAGCTGCCCTGGGGCACACAAACAGAGGCAAGGCTGCAGTGCACAGGAGCCACCGGTCACGCAGACCACCACCAGCAGGCAGGGAGGGTGAAGCTTACCCAAGGACACAACGACTGACACACACTGAGCCTGAGTTCGAACCGGCAAGCCTCCTGTTACAGGATGAACTCTAAGCCCCCAAGCCACTGTTGCCCTCCTTGCAGGAGTAAAATTATAATTTCAGTATTTAAATGGTACTTAAATAAATTAGAGGCTAAATGTTTTGAATACCCAGAAGTACAACAAAACATTTAAAATGTTTACAAATCCGTTACAAAATCATTAGGCAAGGCTTTATATGACAACTTGATCCGAACTCAGGATTAACACCAGAAGAAACCGAGGATTTCCCACACAATGACCAGGTTAGTTCTTTTGGTTTTAAACTTCTGTGCCTTAATGAAAAAAATTTTTGGCCTGTGGCGATGAAGCCAGTCAGGTCTCACAGGAACGATGACACCCGGCAGAGGACACATTAGAGTTAGTGTAAGAGTTTCTGAAATGAAGCAAACCAAGTTGTTGCCCTCGGACATTGTGCAAGGTTTGTTCCTCCGTCATACCTGACAGACACAAGTACTGCATCATAGGTTTTTAGACAGCGAGTTCATAACATGATGATAATTATAGACAACTGTGCTGGGGTTAATTTCTCCAATGTTATTTTATAATTCTAGTTTCTTTAGAATATGAAAAATAAAAAAAATAGAGAGAATTAAGGGGACAATGACTCAGGGGTTAGGGGTTAACCCTAAAACCGGAGGGTAACTAGTTAGAACCCAGACTGTCTGATTAAGTTGTAGTGTCCTTGGCTAAGACACTTCCCCCTCCTTGGCCGGTCGGAGCAGTCGGAGCTAGCAGTTGCAGCTACAACGTAGCTCATGAATGAATAATTTGAATGTAAATAACTAGGGATGCTCAGATCCGATCACATGTTCAGAAATAGACTTACAAAAAAATTGGAATCGAGTGAAAAAGATCGGATTTGACCTTTTAAACAACAAATATGATTTTTTAAATTCATCTTGAGATAGATTTTTTCACAGAACAACAATGGCATAGTTTTAATGTCGACATGTTCCTCTACATCAGTATCCTTTGTTGCTAGGAAGAAAACACCACCATTACTTCACACAATTTACGGCAGGTGAGGATTCAGATGCCATTGCACGCAGCTGTTAGCTAGTAGGCTAATGCAGAGCTAAAATGTCTGTATTTTAGTGTTATTTTAAACCGGACGGCAAAGGCAGTGTCACATCCACAGGTAATGTGTGCATACTGGGCATTCAACATACTGGAAAATTCAGCTGCACGATACGCAGCCTTCAAAACCAACTACTTTCTCCTTTAGCCTTTCCCCTTCAGGCGTCGCCACAGCGAATCATCGGTCTGCATTAAGTCTCAGTCACAGCGGCATCTCTAACAAAAACATGGAGCCACCCAACAGTGAAAGATACGACAGTATCCTGTAGCCTGCCGGCAACGCATCACATGCATCACTCAATAGAGCAATATAATGAGGACATAATAATTTGAAATATGAGCAAGTCAGCTACTTTTAAATATATTCATCATATTAACCCTTTGGGCGCCAGAGTTTTTTCAAGGAAATATTCAATTTTGACATGACTATTTCAAAAGGTTGTAGTTTGGAAACAGTCAGAGAATAAGGTAAACTGTAAATGAGAAAAATCTTCTGTTGGATCCAAAGTTTGTGTTGGGAGCAAATTCACTCAACTATTTTGCATATTGTGACATCATCAGGCTGCCGCCTCATTTTTACAGATCTTCCTTCTTATTTAGAAATGTTCACTATATTTTGAAAATTTTTTATTCATATACATACATATAGAAAGCCATTTTGAAATTTTAATTTAATAGTTTATCTTTAATATTGTATTTTTTGATGTTTATATTGGCCTCACTCAATAGAAATGCTGTATAGTCATATTTGTCAGGTTTTTGGGGGCTTGTACAGCTTCAGGGATGTCCTTCCCTTGAATGTAATGATCATTTGATCCAAGGGAAAGAACATTTTTTGGTGTAAAGTAGTAACTTCACAAGGGGCCATAGTTGTAGCTGTGGCTCGTTAGTCTGTAATGACACTTGTCGCAATATTGCGACTTTGGCGCTTAAAGGGTTAACACCTTTTTACCCATGTACTTCCTAAACAAGTGATGTTTTTAAGCAGATAAACTAAGGAAATTACATAAATACTAGAGGTGGGAAAAATGACTGATTCTAAGATGCATCGCGATTCGGCCGTGCATGATTCTGCATCGATGCGGCAACGTAACATAATGAGATTTTCTCCCTATGTCTATGTCTATGCTGATGTTCTGGACGCGCGAGGACAATGAAGTTTTGAGGTTTTACGACTAATTCCGGGGGCAGAGTTGCAATGACATGCGCATTGCGTTGCTCTAGCACCAATTTAAAGCAGAAATGGCGGACAGGGATACAGGGTGAACATTACCAGTAATCAAAGATGCACCCGTTACATTTAAGCGGGATGTCTGGGCTAATTTCGGCTTTTATGAGCTAGACGGAAAGCTTGACAAGATGCACACTGTGTGTAAGGTGTGCCACACAAAACTAAAGTACTTTGGGAACACAACTAATATGACCAAACATTTTGAACGTTTCCACCGTGCGAGGACTTCTTCAGCAACAGCCACAAAAACAGCGAGCACATCCCAGCCAACGATTGAAGAAGCGCTGACAATTTTACCGTCTGCTTCAGAGAGAGGGAAGAAGATCACCCATTCTGTCGCATGATTTATTGCTAAGGATCTACGACCATATTCTGTGGTAGACAATGCTGAGTTGAAGACGCTCGAGTCTCGGTATAACCTACTGACAAGAAGACACTTCACAGAAACTGCTGTGCCTGCATTGTACAACGAAACCAAAGCCCAGGTAATGGAATCAATGAGTAAAGCTAGCCGCGTAGCCATTACCATGTGATTCATGGACGTCACCTGCAACTAGGGTTGTCACGGTAACCGGTATAGCGGTAAACCCCGGTAAAAAAGTTGACAATAAAAATAACCGTCCAGTTTTTAAAAAACTATATTATCTCGGTGGGTTTACCGTGGCCGCGGTTTTGGTGCGATGACCCTTACCAGCCACCGTCGCTTCAGCTGAAGTTCCCGCGGCGCGCACACGCACTTTTTAGTTTGCAACGGCACCAAAACTTTGAAGCTGAAATAATGGCCGAAGGAGGAGACGGCAGCGCCCAGGACATCCATCAGCCGTCAAAGAAGACTAAATCGGAAGTATGGGCATATTTTGGATTTCTGAAAAATGCTGAGGGACAGTTAATAGAAGACTGCTATCCCATTTGCAGAACGTGCAGGAAACAAGTGTCTGCAAAAGGCAGCAACACTTCGAATCTCATGGCACATCTGCGTGACCATCACCCACGTCTCTACAGCCAGTGCAAGGTAAGATAACATTAGCATTTTAGCTTAAATGCATGACGCGAGGACTTTTGGCTGAGGGAGAATGCAACGAGTCACTATATACTGCAGCCGCAGCGCCCTCTGCCAGCATTTAAACCGTGTCACGGACACCCTGTTGCTGGATGAAGCATCTTATTTGTTGATGATGAAGAGAAATATACAATTAGTTCCTTGTCATTGATTTGTTTACTTATTCAATGCCATTTATACTTGAACATTTGGATTTGATTACATAGTGTAGTAGTTATTTTAGTAATTTGTTTAAAGTGGCTATTTATTTTAAATACATATTTTTTTAAGGTTGACTTGTACAGTGCTCAAGTCAAGTGTGGACTGGAGTTTTAGATTTTCATTTTGATAATGAAGAAAACAAGTATATGAGAAAACAAGTGGTGTTTATTTGATTTGTTTACATATTGTTTATGTTTCGAATGTTTGGATTTGTATAATTTAAACCTGCACTGACTACTGTAACATGTTCCAGAAAAATAAGCTATTTGTTCTTTACTTGTGAAAAGTTGCACTTTTGCTAAGGCTTTGTGTTATTTTAGGTTTAATAAACACTGTTAAACCTTTTCAGAACTATTTCAGTTTGTGTAGAACAGGACTATCAATGCTTTCTGAACATATGCAACACCGTTTAAAAAATACCGCGATAATACCGAAAACCGTGATAATTTTGGTCACAATAACCATGAGGTTAAATTTTCATACCGTGACAACCCTACCTGCAACAGAGTCGTACGTAACAATAACAGCACATTATATAAGCAACTGCTTTTATTAAGTAATGAAAAATCTAGTGTGAAGAATCGTGATGCATTTCAGACTCAAATCGAATCTTTAGGCAGATAATCGGAATCGGATCGAATCGAGAGGCAGGTAGAGATGCACACCACTAATAAAAACATAAATAAATGAATCAATACCTAAATAATAAATTGAAGAAAATGTGGGTGTGTTTCCCCTTTTTATTTTAATGCTTTGCTGAAGTATCAGATCGGGACTCTGTACCGGCAGATACTTAAAATCAAATCAAATGACTTGGATTTGGATCAGGAGATCAGAACATCCCCATTAATAACTTCTGAATGCCTGAATTAGAAAAGTGCCACGCAAATGTTATATAATAATTGTTATTGAGGTTTTCTTTACTTAAGCACCATTTTGATGAGAATGATCATCATGATCATTGTGTGCCGTCTACAATTTTCTCAAAGGAAACCCATCGTTATTTTCACACCAGCATTAGAAGCTATTGCGAGTTTATTTCTGTAACTTATACCTACATTTAACAACTTTTTTTGTTGCTTTTAAATAAATCAAAGAGGAAAGCTCATATCAAATGAATTAGCTCCGATTTAAGAGGTTACTTACTGAGGTATCGACATTCTCAACTTCCCGTATGACCTGCTCGGGAAGATGCAGGTCTAGGTAGACGTCCTTCTCCTTGCGGCTGATGGCGTAGTAACCCTCACTCCTGGCACATCCAGTCACATGCTCTCGAAGCTGTCCATCTGTGTTCTTCTTTTTGCGTCGAGGGTTTGGTAAATTGGTTAGTGCAGCTCAAGAGTCAAGGATGAAACATCAGAAATGTGTAAACATTTCATCTTAGTCATATTAAATAGTAATACATGGTACAGGAAATGTCAGGAAAAGATCTGAGCAGTTAGCGTTTGAAAAGGATATCAGTATGAGTGACCCAGTGAGTATCGTTGAGCCAGTCGGAGCTGTGGTCGTCCTGTAACAGCTTCTCATAAGTCTTCTTCAGGTAGGTCAAGTCTTCACCATCCAGACCAGCATTCCAGATGTCATACAAGATGGTCATTTGTTCAAATTCACTACGGTTTTCAAACTTAACAGGTGGCAGCTCAGGTGCAGGAACAGGCTTCAGCCTGCGTGGCGAAGTCGCCTCCTGCAGAAAGAGGCGTTCGCTCTTCCTCACGTCTTCTGCCATCTCGTTATCAGTGTCTGAGCTGGAGAGCTCCCCAGATTCAAGCTCCTCCACGTCCACATCTTCATCTAAGTCAGAATCCTGGAGGACGAAAAGTCAGCTGTCACTGGATTTGGGTCTATTTAGGATTTACTGACATCTAGTACAAATCATGACACAAATGTGGTCAAGAGGAGGTAATATATGAACTGGCCATTTTCGGTTATTGAGGCAAAATCATATACTTTTATTTTTTTAAATGACCAAACTGAAAAGAAATTCTAATAATCTGTAATGCAGAACATACAGCTAGAGCAAACTGTTGTGAAAATGGTAGAGGCCAACCAATATATAAGGCCAATATATTACATTGTTTCTATATTGGCTGAAATTATTTTTAAAAGCTGCAAATAAATAAATAAATAAATAAAAATAACTTTTTTTAAATAAAAAAATCAGGCATCTGTGTGACCAACTGCCACCACTACTAGACTGAAGAAAGGACCCGAAGGACCCCAACACACCAATTTTTTAATGTTTTGAGCTTGTTTTGTATGTGAAGTTCAATAAATAATCAGAGATTTACTGACTTACTTCATTTATATTGCACACAGTGTCTTTCACAATCAATGTGCTGCTAAAACGTATATATAGGCCTTAATAATCGGCAACAAAATTCTTTAAAAATCAGCATTGGCCTTTGAAAAAACTCATATCGGTCAGCTTCTAGAAAATGGGGGGGGGGGGGGTAAATAAATAAAAAAATGTTTTTAGGTGTGTGGATGCACGCGGGGTTCAAGGACCACAAAGAGAAGGCCTGCAGGCCGCCTTTTGAGGACCACTGCTATAGAGGACTGATAAAGCTCTCATTTATTATCGTCTCTGCTGCAGTAGTGGGAATATCTCACATTGGCTACATTCACACTGCAGGCAAAAGCGCATCAAATCCAAGTTTTTCTCATGTGTGACCCATTTCTGTTTTTTTAACAGCCAAAACAGCACCGATCAGACTTTTTCAAATCCAATCCAAGTGACTTTCATATGTGGTACTGAATCCAATACGTATCCTGATGTTTTTGAAAGCAACTTCAGTCTGAACGATCATGCTGCATCAAATCTGCCTCCTCTATCACTGATCATCAGAGGTGAGCACGTGTGTTCACGTTTCCGAGAAGAAGTGCTGAAGGAGGGATTCAGAGGTCTGTCTAGACGTCCTGTCAAGTTTTGGAACTGAAATGATTATTAAATAGAAGCGAGTATGAATGGAGGGTGCTGCTGGAGCAAAGCGTCTCCCCGGTCACTGTCAGAGAGGGCTGGGGTGTTTGTCCATGAATGAACGTAGCATCGAAACATTTCCTGGGAATACTATTAAGGTAGGATGGTGGGAAAGGGGAGTAAAATAGTTTCCAGGTGTGATCCTGAAATTACGGATGAACTCTCAGTGAAGGCTTCCACCTCTCCACGACTCCACTGAGTGTGACTTCTTATCTTCTGCGCATGCGAGTCACTTTGGGGTCATGAACCGTTTACACTGGAGAGTGTTTGATGTTGCATTTCAGTTATAATGCGTGCAACCATACAAAAAAATAATCGGAATTAAGCATCAAGACCTGCAGTGTGAACAAAGCCAAATACACACTGGTCTATATAAACCTAAACAAACTATACCAGCTTTTATGACCTTAATAAAAATTGTGCACAAAAAATAAAAAAAATAAAGTTGTGAGAGATTGCAGAGGATGACTCAGCCATCTGCAGGAAACCACGTACCTCTAGTTTCTGCTTCCTCTGCTTCTTGCCTGCCGGCTCCTTCTGCTTCCGTGAATGGTGTGGCTCAAGGTTTTCTTTATCTTTTCTCTTCCTCTTTTCACTCTTGTCATATTCAAGTTCTAAACCTTTCCCAGGATAATGTTTCTTCTTTGGAGATGGCGCTGCAGCTGCCACGTGGCTCAGATCATCAGAATCACTCAGCTCTCCCGCTGAAGGCAGGTAGTCTCCAGCATACAACCTGGACGGTAACGCCTCTCCAATCACTTCCTCTGGAGCCTCAAGGACCCCAGAAATAGAATTGAGGTCTGTCGGGACTAAGATGGAGGAATCTTGTCTAGAGGAAGCCTTTTTGGAAGTGGATGGTGCTACGAGTAAAGGAGGTTTGCAGTAGTTGTGCTCCAAAAGGACGATAACACCTCCAGGACTTACAAGCAAAGCCAGCGACTCTGGAGAGAGGACATTTCCTTCCATTTTCTGCTCTTCTGCTTCATCAGAAGTTTCTGTCTCCTCAGAGTCCCCAGCATCTGGGTCCATTTTTAAGGCTACATCAGCCAGCACAGACAGGTCAGCTGTGGAGGCCGAGGACAGCTGCAGGAGGCTGGAAGCTCCCACCTGCTCTCTAAGTCTTAACCTTAGCTCACTTTCCTCCTCATCCTCGTCATCCTCTCTGAAGGAGTGACAGGAAGAAGCAGAAATGCTGGATGTCCGAGGTCTGCCTCTGGGCCGCTTGACAGAAGGTGGTGGAGGGGCCTCCTCAAAGGCCATCCTACACATAGAAGCATGGTCCAATGGAAGGTTCTGCACCGTGCGGCATATCATAATAGGGGCGGGAGATCTGGGAGAGTCTTTGCCTGCTCCCCGTTTGCCGGGAGACTTGACAGAAGTTGTGTGCGTGATAACAAAAGGTCCCTTTTTGGTCTCCTCTGAATCCTGGGCTCGTCCAGGAGGGGGGACAATGAGGGCATTGCCTTCTCCTGGTTTTGAGGCGAAAGGCAGAAGCTGGATTCCTTGACTGGGGCGACTCGAGGAGGGCGGCGCAACAGTGACGGGAGAGTCTGAAAGCTTGAGAGGGAGGACAGGGGGTTCACCCGACAAATGTGAAGATGGAGACAGTGGCACAGCAGGCAGGTGTGTTTTGCCATCATTCTCGTCTGTGAATGACACGGTCTTTCTGCGTTTCTTGAGGGGGGGCACAAAAACACTGGGGGATGAAGGCCGCGGGAACGAAGGAGATGAAGGATGCTTGGACAGTGCTGTCAGTTTATCCCCCTTGTTGTCTTTTATAACACCTGAGGAGAAAAACTGTTTTAGGAGGCGCCCTGAACCAAAACTTGAGTCATTTTAAAACACAGAGTGAACATTTATGGATGATGCTTCACTAGAAAGCTGAATTTTCCTGATAAGCACTTTGTTAATGATGAAGATGTCTAACCTTTTTTGATGTCCATCTTTGGAACTGCAGCAGCAATATTTTCTCTAAAGTGAACAGGACAACCATTTAGTTTTGCATTAAAACATCAAATATAATTAAAATGTATTGTTGTGCACGAATAAGAAACTATGCTTCAGCACATCTCCCTCCAGAGGACGGGCGCCAACGCGTAAATAACATACTTGTCATCCTCCTTCTCAGTTGTGCTGTCCATGGTCGACTCATCCATGGAGTCTGGACCGGCACTTTCCACCAGCTCTCCCTCCTCTTCATCTTCAGACGAGGATGAAGATGATGATGCTGAAGAAGAGGAGCCTTCAGAAGACGAAGAGAGACTCCCGTCATCACTGTCACTGAGGCCTTCATCTACGAGGAAAAAAACATGAACCAACTGATCATTTAAAAGTAAATAAGTACAGTGTGGTGGGACTGATCACGGCTTTACTTTACCATCAGAATCCTTCTCACTGCCCATTTCTTCCTCATACTCCTACAAGCAAAGGAAACGACCGTTACTAGGCCACTCCAGAACGTTATCATGAAACTGCCATCTAGCTTAAAACAAGATTTATGAGTGATAATTATATAAAATGCCTAAATATAAAATTATAAATAAGTCAAGTATTTTTTATTAAGAGTCAAATGTAGCTTTTTATTGTGTAGGACAGTGGCCCTCAATTCGCAGCCCGCGGGCCACGTCCGGCCCACGACCCCTCTCTTTGTGGCCCCCAAACCCCGCGCGCACCCCCTACCCCCACCCCCGACAGCCGACCGGGTGGTAACAAACTAACTAACAAAAAGCCAACCTCAGCCCTCCGCCTCTCACCTGCATCACACCCAGGCTCATCAGGCTCCCCCATCCCCGCAGCCTTCTCCCACCCACACTCAACACCATCACACCCAGGATCAGGCCCCCCCAGCCCTCCGCCTCTCACCCGGAGCAACTCCAGCAAAGGAGAGTGTCCAACCCCTGTCAAGGACTTGGGTTCCAGAGCCAATGCTATGTGTCGAGGTGAGTCCGACTATATCTAGCCGGTACCGCTCAACCTCTGCCACAAGCTCCTGCTCCTTCCCCGCCAGCGAGGTGACGTTCCATGTCCCAAAAACCAGTTTCCTTGTCCGGGGATCGGACCGCCAAGGCTCCTGCCTCGGTCTGCCACCCAATCCACATTGCACCAGACCCTTCATGTTCCTCCTGCGGGTGGTGGGTCCACAGTTGGATGAGCCCATGTATCCGGCTCGGGCTGGGCCCGGCCGGGCCCCATGGGCGAAAGCCCGGCCACCAGGTGCTCGCTCACGGGCCCCAACCCCAGGCCTGGCTCCAGGGTGGGACCCCGGTAACCCTCCGGGCCGGGTACTCCGACTCTTTGATTGTACATCCATGAAAGATCCTCTGGCTTTTAAATCTGTGTGTTAACTGATGTTGTTTTGTATTTTGCTGTTTTTTTAGTTGGTTTCCTATATATTCTTTGTTTTTATCTTTTTTAGTTTAGTCTTGTTCAGCACCTTGGTGACATAATATATGTCTGTCAAGTGCTTTTATAAATAAAGATGATGATGATGAAATAGTACACTTGCACTGATTTCAATAGTAAAGTGTTTTCCCTTTTACTAATGCTGTTTTATTACGATCATTGTTTTAATTCGGGACCAGTTTGCTTTGAGTGCAATACTAAAGTAGTGAAGCGGCTCTCACACGATCATTTTAGACCAATACGGTGCATTTAGTAAACAGAAATCCAGGGTCTTTGGCACTCATTTATTCAGATTTCATGCATGCATGTGGGTGGGTGGATGGATGGATGGTGCATCATTTTTATGTCAGTGCTAAACAAACATTTTCATTGTTTTGTAATTGACTTATTGCGATGCCTTGATTTTAATGAGGTTAGTACACATCAGTCGTAAATGCTATGGATCTAATTCTTGACATAATCATTTATTTCAGTGTTCCGGTTTTCAGCCTCGGTTTCCTCATTTTCGTTTTCGCCCCAGTATTTTCATTTTGGTGCACCCCTAATTGTTACTAAAGCCCCTCAAAATTCAAAGAAAATAAACAGATGAAATCAGGAACCTTTTCAGTTGACGAGCCATCAGATGTTTCTTCTCCCTCACTGTCGAGTTCCCAAGGTTTACGAGTTCTTGGCTTCTTCTTTCTCCTCTTGCTGTCCCTTTCAGCTCCGCGCCTGTCTGCCTCTGGCATCCTGTCTGCAGCTGGAAACCAGACATCCGTTTTAAAGTTAATCACAGCAGTTTTATTAACTCATCCTGTATTTAAGGAGTTTTAACATCAACCAAACAAACATTCGTCATCTTCATCTGGAGGAGTTGATGGCCGAGGCCTCTTCATGTCCACCTGTTCAAACTCCTGAGGTTCTTTCCTTTTCACCTGCACAGTTAGAATGTACACAAAATTCTCTTAGCCACACACAATTAAATTAAATTAAACAAAATCTGAACAAGCTGCATTTATAATACATTAGATATTGCATAATAACTAGGACAGGTTAGACTACAGGAACAATGTGATTGTGGGTAAAACATTACTTGACTGACTGCAGTAAGAATGTGTAGCTCTTCAGTTTAACTGGTACTGGCATTATCCTGTTCCACATCAACATCAAGTCAGTAAGTGTTTAATATTGTGCTATACCTGATTTACATTAGTATGTCTGTGCCCTTTATGCTGCATAGCTGTGGAAACTAGGAATGCACCGAAATGAAAATTCTTGGCCAAAACCAAAAACGAGGATGCTGACAGGTCTGAAGCCTGGTTCATGCTTCTCCGTCAGCTCCGCAAGGGACAGACACGCACGGATTGACGGAAGCGTTTTGCTCTCATGCTTCTCCGTCTCCTGGAGAGTGTTGCAAAGCAACTGCCCACCAGGACAACAGAGGGCGTAGCGCTGTTCTGTGGTATCCTGTCATGTATCCGGTCCAAACTAGTGTGTTTATATTGTGTTTTTTGTATATAAGAGTCTTTTTAACACAAACAAATTTGTCCCTCATTCTCCTCCACATCTTCATGCGCTCGCCACCTCTAAACCCACGTTTCCTGTCATTTCCGTGCACAAATAAAACGCTTGCTGCATATCTTTTCACTCCTCCAGTCACGGGAGAATTAAACGTTCATATTTTAGAGTTTTTTCGCGAGGTATTCGTCAATCTTCTCCGTGTCTACCGCTAGTTATCCTCGGCTCTCTTTGTTTTTGAGGGCGCAATGGTGGCGCTGTAGACAACAGCGGCGTCCTGACCAATCACAAGCTTGCGTTCTCCGTCTCGACTGACGGATGTTTAGAAAAGAGAGCTCGACTCCGTCCGTCCTTGCGGAGCTCTCCAGCAGCTCCGCAAGGCCGTTGCGTGTCTCCGCACTGGCGCAGACGGAGAAGCATGAATCAGGCTTGATCCTTGTTGACAAGGCTCTGTCTGGTGATGGCCGACTCTGATTCTGAAGAGTAATGTTCACCCTCTGATGAAGACTTTCACTCGTCCAGTGAGGAAGAAAGAGACGCAGCTACAGAGAGTCTGTGCTTCATGAGAGTAAACACGCTTCACACACATGATCCAAAGCTTATTTCACCGTGTTCAGGGCGTGGTGGGTTTAGAGAGGATGGTGAAAACACTGCTAATAGTGATGTAGAGGGGGGGCAGACGCTAGAAGTGAAACCGAAAGTAAAAAGTACTTCATAAGTGATGCGAATATTCCAGCGTTTGAATAAAAGAGGATTTCTAAAAGGGGAAAACTTTACTTTTGAAATAAGAGAGAATGTATGATTGTTATGAAGCAAAGAGCAAGTTGTCACGAGAGATGAACGAAAACGGGGTTTAGCCGTGTTTTTTCTGTGACTTTTGTGTTTCGGCTGAAAACCCAAAAAGCACTTTTGGGTCAATTTCGGCTGAAATTTTTCAGTGGCCAAATTTTGGGTGCATCCCTGGTAGAAACCCAAAATTTCCTTTTGGTTGAAGGTTACAATAATAGCTTACTGCCTTCGTGTGCTCACCAGAAATCTTTATTATTTTTCTTCTTCCTTTTCTCTAAGTGTATGTGCTGCTGTAGCAAGTGAAGTTCCCCACTGTAGGATTAATAAAGTATTTTCTAATCTATTAGTAATTATTACATTAAATATAATAAATATTAAATTAAATCACAGATTTAGTTTGCTACATGATTCCTAAAGTAAAAAGTTAAAGGTTTTGGCTCTGCCACTCAGTTACCTTAAAGGAGGGTAATCGAAGAGCTCCTCTAAGAGAAAAGCCCTCCATGCCACCGCTCTTTGCCCAATCCACAAGAGACGTAAGGGGCTCCCGTGGACGATTGATCTTTTCCTCCTTTTTCTCATCATCCCGTAAAGCAGACACTCCCCTTACCATAGTCTGGAAAGGCTAAAATAGAAGAAAACCAAACATGTTTATGTTTATTTATTTGGCAGACGCTTTTATCCAAAGCCACGTACAATTTTTTTTTTAACCTATAGGGCATGTTGTGATCTGTGGGGGAAACCGGAGTACCCGGAGAAAACCCACGCATGCATGGGGAGAACACGCAACTCCATGCAGAAAGACCACAGCCGAGTTTCGAACCTGCAACCTTCTTGCTGCGAGGCAACAGTGATAACAACTGCGCCACCATGCAGCCCATATATATATATATATATATATATATATATATATATATATATATATATATATATATATATATACATACACACACACACAGTGGGGCAAAAAGGTATTTAGTCAGCCACCGATTGTGCAAGTTCTCCCACTTAAAATGATGACAGAGGTCAGTAATTTACATCATAGGTACACTTCAACTGTGACAGACAGAATGTGAAAAAAAATCCATGAATTCACATGGCAGGATTTTTAAATAATTTATTTGTAAATCAGGGTGGAAAATAAGTATTTGGCCAACAACAAAAATTCAACTCAGTACTTTGTAACATAACCTTTGTTGGCAATAACAGAGGTCAAACGATTACTATAGGTCTTTACCAGGTTTGCACACACAGTAGCTGGTATTTTGGCCCATTCCTCCATGCAGATCATCTCGAGAGAAGTTTGTTTTGGGGCTGTCACCGAGCAACACGGACTTTCAACTCCCTCCACAGATTTTCTATGGGGTTGAGGTCTGGAGACTGGCTAGGCCCCTCCAGGACTTTCAAATGCTTCTTACGGAGCCACTCCTTTGTGGCCCGGGCCGTGTGTTTGGGATCATTGTCGTGTTGGAAGACCCAGCCACGTTTCATCTTCAAAGCTCTCACTGATGGAAGGAGGTTTTGGCTCAGAATCTCACGATACATGGCCCCATTCATTCTGTCCTTAACACGGATCAGTCGTCCTGTCCCCTTAGCAGAAAAACAGCCCCAAAGCATGATGTTCCCACACCCATGCTTCACAGTAGGTATGGTGTTCTTGGGATGCAACTCAGTATTCTTCTTCCTCCAAACACGACGAGTTGAGTTTATACCAAAAAGTTCTAGTTTGGTTTCATCTGACCACATGACATTCTCCCAATCCTCTGCTGTATCATCCATGTGCTCTCTGGCAAACTTCAGACGGGCCTGGACATGCACTGGCTTCAGCAGCGGAACACGTCTGGCACTGCAGGATTTGATTCCCTGCCGTTGTAGTGTGTTACTGATGGTGACCTTTGTTACTGTGGTCCCAGCTCTCTGCAGGTCATTCACCAGGTCCCCCCGTGTGGTTCTGGGATTCTTGCTCACCGTTCTCATGATCATTTTGACCCCACGGGATGAGATCTTGCGTGGAGCCCCAGATCGAGGGAGATTATCAGTGGTCTTGTATGTCTTCCATTTTCTGATAATTGCTCCCACAGTTGATTTTTTCACACCAAGCTGCTTGCCTATTGTAGATTCACTCTTCCCAGTCTGGTGCAGGTCTACAATTCTTTTCCTGGTGTCCTTCGAAAGCTCTTTGGTCTTGGCCATAGTGGAGTTTGGAGTCTGATTGTTTGAGGCTGTGGACAGGTGTCTTTTATACAGATAATGAGTTCAAACAGGTGCCATTAATACAGGTAACGAGTGGAGGACAGAAAAGCTTCTTAAAGAAGACGTTACAGGTCTGTGAGAGCCAGAGATTTTCCTTGTTTGAAGTGACCAAATACTTATTTTCCACCCTGATTTACAAATAAATTCTTTAAAAATCCTGCCATGTGAATTCATGGATTTTTTTTTCACATTCTGTCTGTCACAGTTGAAGTGTACCTATGATGTAAATTACTGACCTCTGTCATCACTTTAAGTGGGAGAACTTGCACAATCGGTGGTTGACTAAATACTTTTTTACCCCACTGTACATATAAACCTTTCCAATGAAAGGTTTATATATATATATATATATATATATTTATATATATATATATATATATATATATATATATATATATATATATATATATATATACCTTTCCAATGAAAGGTTTACCAACAATCAGTCCCACACTTGTCCTGAAGTCATGTGGAAAATGCTAAGAGAGAGAACAATTTGAGGAAAATATGGAAGTATACATCTGATCAGAAAATTAGACTGGAAGTTTTTGTGGCTAAATGTGCATTTGTAACTTCTACCCAAAGATCAGAACAATCGTAAACAGATGAGCCCTTACCTTGGCTTTGGTCTCCTTCCTCTCCCACCACTCATCAAACGTTGCAAACGCTACGTTCTCCACCATCTTACGGTTTAGGTCCCTCTGCATGATGTTCTTCATTTCCTGGATAAGCGTGGCCAAGACCATCTGCACCGTTGCCTCATGTGGATTCTCAGCCAACATGGGCATCTGCTCCCCGGGAACGCTAAACTCGTTCCCATCTCCGGTCAGCATAGTGCCGTAGCCAGGAGGGGGCATGTAGGAGGGGTAATGAGGAGGTAAGACGTGTGGTGGCCAGCCAGTGTGGGGAGGGGGTGGTATCTGAGTATTGTGGGGATCGTGGTAGGGATAGGACATATGAGGGGGCATGTACCTGTGGTCTTGGTCAAAATGAGCACCTGCCCCACTCCCCTCCTGGTCCATGTAGGAGTGATGCGTGTGAGGAGGTGGCATTGAGTGAATATGGTAGGATGAGTAGTCTGCAGTAGCGGCCTCACCTGGACCTGGTGTGCCGTTGGATGAAGACATACGCATCTGCTGTAAGCGACTTAGCATGTGTGTCTGCATTTGGAAGGACATCGGTGCTCCACCACTGTACTGGTTCATCAGTTCCATCGAGCTGGCGTAGTCATACATGTGGTGAGGCATAGGAGGGGGATACTCAGGGTGCAGCTCCATGTGGGGAAGGGGGGGAATCCCTGGTGGAGGCGGAGGCTGAAGGGAGTAACCATGAGGGGGAGGGGGAGGTAAATGAGGTGGGTAGGAAGGTATTGGGAGGTGCATAGAAGTGCCAAAGTGCTGCGAAGAGTCGGGTGGTGGGGAGGACGAGGGGTCTGCTGTTTGTGACGGTGCAGCCTGAGAAGAGGACGGTGAAGATCCCGAAGCGGCTGATTGCTGATGGGTTGCTGTTGTTGTTATAGTGGTTGTTGTTTCCTCCTCCTCCTCGTCTGAGATCTCCATGTCCTCCCCAGAAGAATGAGGAGAGGCCTGACAAAAAGAAAACCAGATTATGGTTTACAGTTAAAAAACCACCCGTGTGTTTGTGCACATTCCACAGCAATAACCGCATTTAGGAAATTCACCTCCAGGGAGACCGACCACAAAATCCAAGGAAAACAGATCAAACTTAAGACTGTAACGCTGTCATTAGCAGCGGTGTACTAGACACGTCGTCTCTGAACACTAAATACATTTTCTAATGCGACTTTCATAAGAACACGTTTGAAATTCACATGCAAGTATTAGACTTGTCCACAAGAGGGCGATGTTATTAAAACAACTACGCAATACAGGAGTAAAACGAACAAGTTAGCTGCACATTTCAGGCTCCACAGACTTTTAGATCGTCAGTCTCTCTGCACCTGGACAGAGCTGAAAACTTTGCAGCAGTATTATCATCTCGCCAAGTCTTTTAAAACTTGCTCTAGATTAAAATGATCTCCATCATAAGGTGTACCAAGAGCAAAAATAAAAGCAGAGAGATGAATTACGAGGCTAAAGGATGCAGCCGTTTTTGTTTCTAAACAAATGTCATTTTATTCTAGTAAATGAATAGAAGTTAAAGTGGATTTTAGACCACATGGTTTGCAGCAAGTTACTTTGTGTTTCAGTGTGGTTTTAAACTGTAACGTTCTAAAAGTCCCTGTCCTACCTGACTCTGCCCATTAAAGGGTGGTGTGTGAGCTCCCGTTCGGCTCTCTGCGTCAGCAGAACCCGGCTGATCGGACTCTTGTTGTGACGTCCCGGTCCCAGCAAGGCTAACCTGGGGTTGAGGTTCTTCTGGAGGTAGGATAAGGGGAGAATGAGTGGAGGGGGGTTGTGTATCTGCTGAGAGAACAGTTGGGCTCTTCCTCCCCTCTCCCCTCTTCCCCTGTTTCTTTCCTTTGTGGCCATCTTGATCTCGCTCCTCTTTCTTCCTGTGTTCTTTCTCTCCACTGTCTCTTATGTGCTCCTGTTCCCCTGTTGCTTTACCTGACCCACCTCTTCGATCGACTCGCTCCCCAGCTTTGGCTCGAAGCTTGTCTTCTTTCCTATCGTCATCCTCTTCCTCATCAGAGGCGAGGAAAGAAAATTTCGCCTTTTGCTCTTTTAAGAGCATCTCAATGCGAGAGTCAAGACTGCTGCTGTGGTAAACAAACGGTAAACTCTCATTAGTGGAGTCGGGTTCTGGGGAAGAGGAGTCCCGGTGAGGAGGCGGTGGGGAGCTGGAGGAGGAGGAAAGGTGATGAGGAAGAGAGGCCGAGGAGGGAGAGTTAGAGGAGGAGGCGATAGTAGGGTGGATAGGAGATGAGGGTGGGGGAGTCTTGGGTGGAGCAGGTGGAGTGCTAGGATGACGTTTGGGCTTTGTCCACTGCTCTTCACCAGCAGGACTGTCCTGGTTGAAGTCCAGTGATCCTAGCGTGTCAGCGACAGCTGCCGCAATAACAGAGGCGGGTGGAAGTGGAGGGGGAGGAGGAGGCAGGGCACCGTGATGATCGGCGTGGTAGCCTTTGTCAGCACCTGCTGAAGGCAGAGAACCCCTTTCTGCAAGGCCTGTTGCCCCTGGGCGGGTGGACCCGTCCGATCCCTGAGGAGGGGTTGGAGCAGCCTCTTTAGAGGAGGCGTAGGCAGAGTAAGATGATGGAGGAGGAGACATGCTGTTCGAAGAGGAGCGATAAGAGTTGGAATTGTATCTGGGATCAGAGCTGTTGGAGTAGTCGCTGTCTCGGTCCCTATCTCTGTCTCGGTCCCTGTCCCGATCGTGGCTGTTTCTTCTGCGACTGCTGCTTCCGTGGTGGTTGTGAGAGTGGTGGTGGTGGTTGCGGTGTCTCTGGTGGCTGTGGTCACCTGACCGGGAGCCGAGGCTGTCGCGCCGGTAACCCCGATCATCTCTGCGGTCTGAATGGTGATGGGAGTGATGGGAATGGTACTTTGAGGAAGAGTTTGTGTCCTGCTGGTGATGGTAGGATGACCTTCTGGAGCCAGTGCCCCCTGGTCCATACCTCCCCCCTGAGTCTCTTTCACGGTCTCGATCTGACATTGGAAGATGGTCATGCTGATTGGAAAAAGGTGGGGGAGGCATTGTGGAGTGATGTGCTATCTGGGGCCCTGGTCCTCCAAGATTAGGGTAGGGGGGGTAGCATGGTGGCTCGTTGGGACGATAGGATGGAGGGTACCCTGGGCGACATCGATGGTGCACTGATGGATCCTGTTCATCGGGGTAACGAGATACTTTGTATCCTCCGACAGAAGACGAGACTGCAGAAGATGAAGATGATGATGGTAACATGTCCTGGGGGGGATAGCCACTGCCCAAAGGGCCTGGATTATAGCCAGGATGTCTGCAAGACAAAGATTAGGTAAAACAGTTATTCTGGGGATTTACATACATAACAACTCTGCAAAGCTCTCTTTACTTAGTGCCTCCGACGTCAAGGACAGATGAGCAGTTAATACAGCTGTTTAAAGCGACCGTTTCTGTTTAAGTAACTAGAAAACAGGTTTACGAGCTCATCAGATGCTTTTATGTTGTTTCTATTGCGCCTCCAGTTACAATTAAGGTCTGTTGTATTTTATTCTGTTTCAGAACTTGCCAAACACCAAAATATGTGTATTTTAGTTTATTGGTGCCAAACATCCCTTTACTGCTCAGCCACACAATCTGCAACACAACTAAAGAGAAGTTCCCGAGGGAGATTTTTCTAGCTGGGTGTACACTCTACAACTTTATCATATTTGTGAGCCGATTTTCCCCTCTTGCAAGAATCTACAAGAGCGGGTTGAGTTTTGCGCTGAGCGTCGTGTGGTACACAGGGGGTTACGAGAGGAGATAAACACCATGTGACCAGCAACCAATTAGCAAACATTTCTGGCGTGTGATACTTTGCTCGTCCCTCGTGAGTGTATCACACTATTGAAGTGGCGCTGCGAGCAGCTGCTACCCAAAAGTACCAGAACCGCTCACGAGTAAACATGCATCAACACGGCTCACCAGCTATTTCCTTATTAATGCACATAGGTTGTTTTTTACACTTTGTTTTCCACACACACTGTCAAGGATTGTCAAATTAAGCTGATAAAACATTGATTTACTTTCTTTCGTTTTCCTCATCCAACCCCCATAAATCCCTGTGTCTTCCTACAGCACTCCCGAAGGACAACAGACATCAATAACAACACAAAAAATAGTCCGGCATGTTGTGTAAAAACTGCTTTTTTTTAGCATATTTGTCGGTCCCACGTGTTGCTACCAGACAAAGTGTGAGCACATGACTCGTGAGATTTGCTCAGCAGGGAAGTAGTGCAGTTTGAGCTGAAGCTGAACGCTACGAGTGAAAAAGTCGCACGGTGTCCGCCCGGCTTAAGTTGTATTATTTAGGTCAAAGTTCCTCAAATGAAAACGATACCAAAAGCTAAAAATGTCCATTGGCGCCTAGCTCGCCTTAAGCCGATTTTGAAAAGGTCGCATTTGGAGACTGTGAGACATGCTTTTATTACCTCACGACTGAACTATGCTAACACACTCACTATTAACTGGGACTCCAGTGTCAGCCCTAAATCGTCTGCAGATTGTGCAGGATGCTGCAGGATGACTTTTGACAAGTGCAGACAGACATAGCCATGTGACCCCGGTTTTGGTGCACATTCAGGGTTAAATTTAAGATCCTGCATACAAAGCTTTGAATGGTCTATCGGTCTTACTCACGCCCCCTTTATGCCGGTACACTCGATACGTTCAGCAGACAAACTGATGCTCTGCACCCCGATAATGCGCTGCAGGAGAAGGGGGGAGCATGTAGCTCCCACACTCTGGAATGCACTGCCACTCACTATCCATTGGTGTCTTCAGGTCAGGCCTGAAGACTAAACTTCATAATCTGGCTTTCAGATTGTGATTTTTATCTTTCCTCTTTAGCTGTTTTGATCTGCTTTTATTTTGTCTGTTGTATCTTTTTGTTTTATTAGCATTTTATGTTTCTGTTTTTATGTTGGTAAAGAGCTTTGGTCAGCTGTTTTTAGATGCGCCATATAAATAAATTTTGGTCTCGTACGGTATGGCAAGATTATTTTTTAAATCCCAAAACATAAATGTTCATAGTAATAAAGTATATAAAGAAGGAAAAAACTGAAGAATAATTTTAACTTTTTCATTTTTTTTTTAATAATAACTAACCGGTTGCTGGTGTAGCCTGAGTCTTGAGAGAAAGGAGTCCCAGATCTAGAGCTGTAAGGAGTTCCTCCTCCTTGAGATGAAGCAGAGGAGCCAGGGGTGAAAGGACCAGCTATGGATGGAGGGGGGGTGTCTATTCGCTGGTCACTGAAGCCAGTATCAGCAGAACATGGTGTGATGTTTCCTGATGTAAGGGCTTGGACTCCTGCTGCCAGAACAGCAAGCTCACTGGAAAGCCTCCGTCTGATTTCCAACTGCAGTGGAGAAAGATTAGGATCAAATTTTAGATTTTGGAAATCTAAGCAAGCTGTTTACATTATAACACGACACATGCTGGCTGACTTGAACCAGAAACAAATCCCCTGTGAGGATTTGGAGTCTGATTTCCTGGTATTTGGACATCTCGCCTCTGATTGGCTAACAGCAACATGACTACCACTGGCTGTTTGCTCTACAACATGGATGTTTGCTAATGCTAATGGTTAGCTTCTGCTAACTAAGATGTTCAATGCTGTTTGCTGGACGCTAAAACAACAGCCTTCCCCGTCGTGAGCCAAGATGGGCGAGTCCAAGTGACCACTTGACAGAGCGGTCAGGAGTTTCACCGTCTATTTTCTATCAGAAGCTAATGAAGGAGATAGATGTAAGAGACTATTTTCATGTTCAGCCCGCACAAAAAACACAGACTGACTGATTATAATCATAAATAATCATTAAAAAGGATTTTTAAGTGACCCACTCCTTTTAACTGATAAACTGAATGACAATAAATGATTATTAAGACATTTATGCTGCATTTGTACCGTGTCAGGTTGGGACTGTGTTGGGGTTTGAGGCTGAATGCTGTCTGCCAAAGCCTTCCCTCCCAGAGGCACTGTCTGAGGAGTGTAGGACCCGTTGACTATCAGATCATAGTACTTCTGTCTCTGCTGACCTGCAAATACAATTATAAAGATCAGTGTTTTACATTATTCTTCTCAAACAAATTTAACAGCTTGTTCCATTTTTAAGTAAATAAAAAAACTTGTAACTCGTTTAAAGTACAAATTCTTCACTTTGAAATGCATGAATGCATTTAACACCTAAAAAATTAAATTCTGTTTCCTCAAAGATTACAGCTTCAGGGTTATCTTGACTGTGTTTGCTGACCATTTGACAAATTAAAGGTTCCTTAGAGGAAATGTCTTAGCTTACCCTTTATATCCAGCTGTGCATGAATGATATTACCCATCACAGAGGTGTTGTGCAAATGCTTGACAGTGTCCTTAGCCCCTCTGGTGCTGGTGAACAACACCCTGGCAAGGCCCAAGTGCTTTCTGGTTTTGGGATGAAAGAGAATTTCCATCTCCTCCACTTCACCAAACTTGGCACACATTTCTGCCAAGAATGGCTCCTTGATGTTGTCATTGAGTCTAGCGAAGGTCACCTCTTTGAGGGGTATGGGGCCCACATAGAACTCATCAAGCTGTATCAGAAAAAAATGTCCTGGTCAGATTAAAACGCATAGTCATTCCAAAACAGCAGGACAATCTATGTCTGGTCGCTAATCCACCAAGAGCTAACAGCATCAGCTTCACACAGACATGGTTGAGCTAGTAACATGCAACCTACATCTGAAAAGCTTTAATCCAGCGTTCAAAAGTCTATCACAGTTTACAATGATGTACTGACATTAGCATCACATGGCTTATAGAGAGAACAAGTGGCTGACCACATTTAGCTATTGACCCTTTGCACGTGACGTCACGCCACTCATGTGACCGCCCCCTTCGCCATGATGGACGGCAAAAAGACTGTTTACACCCGTAGAAACTCCAGTGAAGTTAGTCAAAACAAGCCAGTTTGTAGCCTTTTATGGCTTTTATTTAGTTGATTTGACACTAAAATGGTTTTAGCTTGCTGCGTGGTCGGCTGCACTAACAGACAAGGACGTAAACTCAACTCGTTTTGTTTTTTTAATAACTTTGATGGAGACTGAGGATGGAGATGAACTGCAGCGATCAATCAAGCTGACTAGCAGGCCTCAGATTAGCAGCGAACATGTTTTTACCGGGTAAGATTAACAATCATTTATTTCACGAGGAAGACAGGGACAGGGATAAATGTCAAGTGTTTATTCAAGTTATTGATAATCCTGATGGATGGGTATTTCACCACGGAGGCTGCGCTCCATCCACTGTAGTGTAAAGCGAGACAATTATTAACAATATTAAAGCTCTGATGTATGATTACGTGTGTTAAAATGATGTTATTTACTTATATGAGCGTCGATGTTCAGAGATCTTCTCATTCCGGTGTGAGAGCAGCAGCAGAACCCGGTAACACCACCAGCAACAGAAGCTGGTAGGGATCCAGACTTTTTAAAAATCAGCTTTGGTGTAAAGTGAAACGCTGTTTACAACATAAAGTTATAAATCCAGCGGGGTGAATTAGGCAAAGTCAGCAACATTTTGCATCGGTGAACAGCTGCAGAGAGAACGTAAGCTAACGTTGGTAAGCTAGTTAACATACCGCTCTCTATGAGCCCCCGCTAGATGCACTACCTCTTCTGATAACTGAACTGGGCATGAACTAGTTGAAGGAAGTTGGAGGAGTTTTGTTTTTGTTTTGATCGCAAAAACAGTTTCAGGCTCGACTTTTCCCTTTGTTTAGTAATCGTGTCGCTCACTGTTTACATGCTTTTGCCGTCCAGCATGGTGGACCCACGTGATTAGGTGGCGTCGGTGCAAAGGTTTAATAGCAGCTTCCAATAGGTCTCAGTGACTGTTACTATTAGAGCAAGTGTCTCTCTGTGTTAACAAAACAACTAAATGCATTTCTGTCATCATCTCCTGAGCTGAAGCTGCACTATGGACCACTGACTTCGTTGAGTTTTCACTGATTCCACACATGCTTTAACTCATTGTGTCTTTCACTACCTTTCCATAAGCTGTTGCTTGGCAACTAGCATGACCTTTTCTCTCCAGTTATATCCAGCTTTATTTTGTTTTCCAAGTCAACAATTTCTGTCTCAATGCTTCTCTCAAAAATTTAATTTTCTTTTAAAAAATTTGGAATTCAGTTAATATTGAATGTGATCTTTTTCCTTGATTATTAATGTGATTATCTTTAATAAAATGATATTTCATACAAGATGGCTTAAAGAGCTAGCCTAGTGAACTAGACCAAATTCTCGCTTTTCAAAGTTTGAAATGAATAATAAAGTTTAAATAATACATTTATTTAGTCTGGCTTGCCAGGCCACTAAAGAGCTGCTGAAATGTGTTTTAGTGTCAAGTTAAGAACAGTTAATTTCCATATTGGAAGCATTGCTGATTTACATCAGTCAGTTCTTCATCTAACTAATAGTGCTTGTACCAACCTATGATTAACAGGTTCATAATTAATTAATAGGACAAATGGTGACCAGCTATGCTTACCTTGAATTTTGGCACTGGTAGGGACAGTTCAGTATACCTGGACCATAGTCTCCGAGGTCTAGGATCCCGGAGGTCTCCCACAGGAGGAAATCCAGAGTCCTGAAAACAAAGAAAGACTAATGAGCTAAAAACAGTTTTGAGAAGATGCACATTATGAAGAGAAATCCCTCAAATGAAACTCACGGGCACACTGAAGTGTACTCCATCATATCTGTAAATCTTCTGGGTAACACGCCTGATGGCAGGGTCTTGAACGAGTTTGTAGCTTTCCCACTGCAAACTGACAGCTTTTTGTGATTCTGTCCCACTGTCTGGATCCATCCTACAGCTGAACAGAAATGGGAAAGTTTAAGAACCAAATCAGAAACTATTGCATGAAACAAAAATCACCACAGAAGCACAACTAAGGCAAAAGAGGGCTGAAGGCATTTGAACCAAAAAAAACTATACAAGCTACATTACTAACAGACTAAGTTAGTCTTGGATGATGGCAGCAGACGCATAGGATGAAAACCTAAATAAACGATAAGCTGCGTCACACCCATTAGACAACTTTTTAGAATACTTCGTGATTACGATACATTTTAAGTTTTGAGATAAAATTTGGTTTTAAAGTTATTATTGATATGTTGTCGGCATCAGTTAAGCTGCCGTCTCCTGTCAAAACAATGACTAACGTTACGTCACTGATCAAATCGTTCAGCTAGCAACCTGCTGCTAGCAAAGGCTAAAATGCACAAACTAAATATAAAGAAATTGCGCTAGTTTGTATAAAGACAAAATTAATACCACATGCAGGTAATTCGCGTTTCAAATATAATTCTCAGAACCACAGTTATTAACTGCTATTGATCGAGATAGCCTTAATCGATTTAATATAAATGTCTTGTCGTTTTAGCCAAAGCAAGTTAACGCTACCGTTGGCTAATGGCTAACTAGCAAGATCAGGTTAGTTTACACTCTGATCTTCCTAACCGTACCACACAACGTGTTTACCCTGTACAATTTATATTATGCACATCTCTATAACGTTTTACTTAATTTGCCTTCGGTTGATCTAAATTCAGACCCCACCTCTTGGGAGACCTACTACGCGCTCATCCGAAAGTAGCAACCCGCTGCTAAAGTGTAGGCAGCTACAGCCAGGCCCGCGAGACGAAGAAGAAAAACACTGGGTCACCAACAGAAACAGAGCACCTCCGACTCAGAATTAAGGCCAAACCGGTGAGCTAAAACAACATCACTACTATCCCGATAGTTAGTCGATACAGCAACGAGCTCTTGCAAGCGACCAAGCCATTGTTTTCTCTCTAAAATCCAAATATTTGTTGAGCGAGCGGCCATCGCGTAACCAACCTGAAAGCCTCGCCTGCTCTCCATCAGTGTATGCTAGTACAGTCTACAGTTCCTGACTAGCACTTTCTTCAATAACGGATACTAAACAAATAAAATACAGAAGTAATGAAATTTCAATTTGAACAAAAATCAGTTATATAAAAAATATAATTTAAAAATAATCATTGTACACGAATAAAATCCATACATTTTTACTAGATGCATGCTTGAATCAGCTTATATTACTCCAAGATTAGAAAAGGGACTACAGCTTCCTCTACAGGCCGAGTTGTTGAACGTGAAGCTTCACAAAACTAAAGTAAATAACACTTTAAAAACGTTTTATTCCGTTGAGATGTGATGTTGTGTTTGTAGGTTACTCGTTTATGTATTTTAATTGCTTGTCTCAGTGATTTAGATTTTGTGAATTTCACATTAATGTAAAAATAAAGGTTCATCTTCAAATTGCAATATTTTTGGTAAAAGATTGCCCGTACTACGCAACAGAGACACTAATAAATCTATCTAAATTGTGCCTAATGTCAATGTTGATAGAGTAGTGGACAACCCGTAGAATTTCCTGAGTGCTAATTAATGACTTCACAATAAAACCTAATCGGCGTGCCCAAGAATACATATAGACTTAGTGAATATATGATTGAATCTTCACCTAAATTTATCATTAATAAATAAATATAACTCCAAAAAAGCTTTTTTCATGAGCAGACTTTTTGCATCTACTGAATTCTTTACGCTGGACAAGTTCAAAAGGTCACACTTATCTCTGGCAAACACAACCTCCATGGAGGTTCACTAAATCTGTTACCAATCAGAAAAGAGAATGCAGGAAAGCTGAGCGATAAAGTAACCTACCATATCACTATGAAACCTTCTAAATCCAGCTGCGCACTTACAACTCTGAATTAAATAAGGCGAGACCAGCCTTTTTCTCCAAAGTCATTGGTGATAATAATTCTTATGTCCTTGACAGGCTTGTGAACTGGGCACAGTCAGTTGATTTCAATCATATCTTGAAGGCAGGGGTTATGTTTTTTCTATTGGTGATCACAAAGCTGATCACCATAACATGTGGGGTCCCTCAAGGCTCAATATCTGCACCACTGCTCTTCAGTCTCTACATGCTCCCCTTGGGTCAGCTCATACAATAACAATGTAGCTGCCCCTGGTACCATGAAGAAAAGAACAGAGAGCCTCGGTGTTTAAACTTTTATTTGTTTCTCTGGTCCAATGGCTTGGACTTCACTCCATGAGTTGCACCTGTCGAGGCTCTCCGTTCTTTTCTTCATGGTGCTAGGGGCAGCTACAGTGAAAACTTGACCAGTGTCCAGTGACAACTCGCCACTACGCTCAGCATCCTGCATCAGTGGAAAACCTACCATTGTCCAGCTTCTAGAAGGACCTGTTGACACAGCAGCTCGAGGCGGATACAGCTTGGTGCAGATTCACCATAATTGTCTCTTTTCTTCCTTCTTAAGGCTTCATAAACTGTGAGTAAAGGAGTTTTCTCATGCCACAGGCTTCACCAATGTTCTGCGCCATTACATTGGTGTGTTCAACTTGGAGTTGGAGCTTAAAACAAAGGTTAAGGTTTTCTGATTGAGAAAGATGGACAAACAACCTCTCAGAGCAAGCTCAAGAGAACGTAAGGTAGCTGAAAAGGGTAAAGAAATGCAAGAGCAACAAAATTAAGAAATTTTATAAAGTCTTTTATAAGGCATATGACACATGGAGAGAGTTTGCTAGAGAAACAAGGACAAAGCTAAAAACTTTCTGTACAACTGAGGATCTTGATGAACTGCAGAATAATATCGAAACTAAACGAACTCTAGTGCACAACACATATAAATCTCTTTGTCAAGGTAATGCCACAACCTCAGATGTTGATTAAAAAAATGGATGCTTGTATCGCTTTGTCTGCAGAAACATGTGATTTGATAAGTAAACGTTTAGAGGAAGTGGATACGGTCTTTAACAACCAACTAGAGAAGGAACATGTGAGAATGGCAGTAAGTAAAAAGGAGTATAGCTCTATTCTTGGGAGAACAGAAAAAGGAACGGTGGTCTCAGACTGTAAGGAAAGCAGAGTATCTTGTTCAACCTCTAGCTCAAAATCATCTCATGGACAATCCTCTACCGTGCACCATCTTGCCACAGGAGTCCCCCAGGGCTCTGTGCTAGGACCTCTTCTCTTTGCCATATACACCTTTGCCATATACACCACCTCACTGGGTGAGATCATTCGATCACATGGCTTCTCCTACCACTGCTATGCAGACGACACCCAGCTCTATCTGTCATTTCCACCGGACCGCCACACTGTCTCTGCAAGAATATCAAACTGTCTCTCTGACACATCAAAATGGTTGTCTCACCATCTCCAACTCAACCTCTCTAAAACTGACCTACTTGTCATCCCAGCAAAACCATCCATACAGCACAATATCTCAATCCAAAATGACTTCCTATCTCTGACTCCTTCAAAGGCAGTTCGAAATCTGGGTGTTGTGATTGATGAACACCTGACCTTTAAAGATCATGTTGCCTCTGTTGCTCGTTCATGCCGCTTTGCGCTGTATAATATACGGAAGATCAGACCATACCTAACACAACATGCTACCCAGCTCCTGGTGCAATCTACTGTCATCTCCCGCCTCGATTACTGCAATGCCCTTCTAACTGGTCTTCCAGCCTGTACTGTGAGACCTCGTCAAATGGTCCAGAACACAGCAGCGCGTCTGGTCTTCAATCAGCCAAAAAGAGCACACGTCACCCCTCTGTTCATTGAGCTCCACTGGCTACCGCTAGCTGCACACATCAAATTCAAATTGCTAACACTAGCATACAAAGTCCGAGACGGTACGGCTCCCATCTACCTGAATCCTCTTGCAAAGGCTTACGTCTCGGCCCGGCCTCTCCGGTCATCACAGGATCGTCGGCTAGCAGTGCCTACACCACGCTCAGGACAATCCAGACTCTTCTCATGCATCGTTCCACAAATGTGGAATGACCTACCAAGCACTACCAGAACAGCAGCTTCCTTTTCAATTTTCAAGAAACTCCTGAAGACCCTGCTCTTCAGAGAACATCTTCTAAACTAGCACCCTCCCTGCACCCGTTCCCCCTCTCTACTGTCCACTCCTTGTTCCCTCCTCTCCATGATTGATGTCAAGTTGTTGTTGTTAGCCTAAAGAGCAACATGCCGATTATCCCTTGTAAGTTGCTTTGGACAAAAGCGTCTGCTAAATACATAAACATAACATAAACATAAACGAACTGATGCTGAGGCCGAATTAGCTGCTAAATTAGCCCAAGCAGAAGCATTAGAGCAAATTCAAGAACAACAATTCAAGTCTCCTAAACTAAAAGCTGAATGGAAAATTATGAAGGCAGAAATGGCTGTGAAAGTTGAAGAAGAAAACACCAAATTACAGCAAATGCAAGCAGCAAAAGAGATTGAGGTGGCAGCAGCTAGAGTTAAGGCCTACGACCACCATGAAGGAAGCTGGGATTTGTCTTGTGAAGAGGTCAGTCTTCAAGGGTCTCATATTCCTGTCTTTTCAACCTGTTAAGGTAAAATATGAGGTATCAAATCTATGAACTTTCCAACTTACTTGTTCTAAATTGGTTACCTGTATCAGAAACACCGTTTTTTTCAGGAGATCCTTTAAAGTTCATTGATTGGAAAATGTCTTTCATGGCGTTATTAGGCTCAAGAGCTCTCCCCATGTGTGAAAAAATGTTGTTTTTAAAGAGTTATGTTGCGGGAGAAGCACGTAAAGCAGTAGAAGGGTTTTTCTACAGAGATTCTGAAGAAGCATATAAGGGAGCCTGGGATATGTTGCAAGAAAGATATGGTAGTCCATTTGACATCAAGAGGTCTTTCAGAGAAAAACTGAGGAACTGGCCTGAGGAAGCTGCTAATGATCCCTCTGCTCTCTGAGAATTTACAGATTTTCTTAAAGGTTGCGATGAAGCCATTCCCCATATCAAAGGCTTAGCCATACTGAATGACTGTGAGGAGAACCACAAGCTCCTCCAGAAACTACCTGAAAATATTGTGCAGCAATGGAGTCGTATCAGGGATTCCCAAAGTGTGGTGCGCGCACCCCCAGGGGTGCGCGAGCTGCCGCTAGGGGGTGCGCAAGGTGAAAAGTGTAATGGCTGCGGAGCTCAGAGAAGTCTGTCATATGTCACCATTAGCGTAGAAACTCATTTGTGGGTGGGCCTAAGAAAAAGTAAGTAGGCACAATGAATGTAATTGAAAACAAGTATATTTTTGCACGCGCGCGTGTCCTCCACATGTGCCCTAGCTTCATAATACCAATGCGCCGAGCTTCAGCACTCTGGCCTGCGCACGCCGATATGTTCCGTCGCGCGCGCGCGTGTCCGCCACATGTGCCCTAGCTTCATAATAACAATGCGCCGAGCTTCAGCACTCTGGCCTGCGCACGCCGATATGTTCCGTCGCGCGCGCGCGTGTCCGCCACATGTGCCCTAGCTTCATAATAACAATGCGCCGAGCTTCAGCACTCTGGCCTGCGCACGCCGATATGTTCCGTCGCGCGCGCGCGTGTCCGCCACATGTGCCCTAGCTTCATAATAACAATGCGCCGAGCTTCAGCACTCTGGCCTGCGCACGCCGATATGTTCCGTATTTGATCATTTTTAACGGTGTTGGAGGAATCTGAAGGTGGCGAGTCATTCTGGCAGATTGTAACACCGTCTCATGCAGGTGTTCTGACATTGTAAACCTCACACACAGAACATTGTGGATGTAACTAAATAACAAGAAATGATTCCCATTCAGGCTATTAACAGCGCGCTGAAGATCTGAAGTTCAGAGTGCGTCTGTCAGAGGTCAGACGTGTTCCAGCTGAACCACGTCTCACGGGTGCACAAGTGAGCACATCTGGGCTGGGCAGAAGTCATTTTACAACATTGGTTTAAATAGCGCGAGACGCGGTGACTTGAGCGGCTGTGCCGCGCATGCGCG